AGACAAAATTATCATCATTAGTAGTATTCTCTTGGGTTCTAAGTGGAACATAGGGCTTCAACAGAACATCTTCATTCCACGGGCTTCTCTACAGTCCTCTTTAGCTGGCACAGCTATTCTCCATAGGCTGTGTTCTCCTCCTGACACCATCTCCACCATCTTGTCACTATTAGCCCAAAAAATCCAATTCGTCATTTCTCATTCGGCTTCCGTCCGAGCGATGGCCTGGAGAGTGATATTACCGGACGGTCTCCTCAGTGTGTGTCCATTTCATCTCCATTTCCTCAGAGATATTTGTTGCTCAATGGGTTCCTTAAAAACTTCATACAATTCTTGCTGTTAATAAATTGGAATAAAGCAAGAACGATAAATGTACCAAGATAATTTGAGCTCATGTATTTATTTTTATTATTCCCTTGATTCTTTTCAACTGGTTTCAATCTGAACAATACCAAAATTATAAACTAAATTAAAGATGTGATAATATTTAATTGGTTGCAAATGAGAATAACATTGGTCAGTAAAAATGTAAGTGGTTGAATAATTAAGATTAAAAAGGATCGACTGTTTATAGCAGAATTACGTGACTAGGCTTGTAACCAAAAGGACAGAGTTCAACAAATCTTTTGTGGATGAAAATAAAGTTTAACTAGAAAAAGCATAAAACCTAATAGGTAACGCAATCATAGAAAAACACATTTTTATAAAATAGACAAAAAAAGGTTGTTGGTTGCTCCGTTTTCAGAATTCTATCTTTCTAATCCTTTCTGATCAGTCATCTGGTCGTTAGTATTGAGCCAGCGGTGTTGAACGCTGTTAATGGAAGTCTGCAGGAGGCCTTTGAGAAAGCTTCTCATCACGCACTGATTATTTGGCGTTTACGGAAGAACTGACTGACTTAACTTCAGTATTGTAAATCTGAATTTTGCTCTTTATGTTGTGGAGTGTGGGAGATACGCAAACTGATTTTAAAGTGATGAATGTTTGACTTGCCTTTCGAATTCAGGTTTTTACATCGTCATGTGTGCGCGCCTTCCTGTATTTGGAACTATGCTTCCGAGATAAGTGAAAGAAGTGACGCCTTTAAAATGTAATTCTTGTTTTCTGTTGGCTGGTTACCTTCATCATTTCCTTCGTCTATATATTCAGCTGGAGTTCCGTCTTCGTTGCTTCTTCTGCCAGATTGTTGGATAAACAAAATCACTTCGATTCTGAATTTCGTTTACTTTTATTCTCTTGATCACTGCATCGTTATAATTAACGCTGTCTCATTTTGATCTCCATTTGTCTTTAGTAGTGGCATTTTATTAACTTTAAAACGTTTTTGTTGGAAACCTTAGATTGACTGTTCTATTTCATTTTATTTCAAAGACCGGTAAATATAGAACCTACAAATTACTCTTGTTCTACGGAAGTGCTTTGAACACCACTTTTAATTCGTCTGAATGTTTGGAAAATGGTTAGTTTTCAGAATAAAAAGCAAGCTATTTATGAACTGAACTTTTCTGATTCTTATATAAACAATGCGACTATCAAGAGAAATCTATGACTTGAATTTCTGACTACTCTATAGAAAATATTTCGAGAACACTGTACAAACTGCTTCCATAAATGTCACATAGTTCATGATCTTTGAGAGCAAACAATAAGAGGGTAAAGGAAGATTGGTGCTATTCAGGCTGGAGCAGTTGCATAACAACCTGTCGAATTCAGTTTGTTGCAGTACTAATGTCAGTTTACCTTAAATGATACCAAATAGCAAATTAATTCTTCTGAAACAGTTTCTGTTTAAGCAATATGTATATATATACATATATATGTATAAAACTCAGTCCTTTGATCAAAATGGAATCGAAGTATCACAGACGTCAAATTTCTATTTCCTTATACACATCTGAAAGGTGAATAGTTCATATGTGTCTTGTTGAATAAAAAGAAACATAGAGCTAAATAAATGTAGAAAGTTTATTGAATGACAAGGTGAATGATACTGTCATACCAAAATGAAGTGTAATTGTATGAAAATATAACCGGAAATGTAAGAGATCTTTTGATATATTTTGGTTGTTATTCTTGTTAAAAAAAATATGAAATAATTTGTTCCACTTGTTGATACTTCTCCCCCATTTCCTTATTACACTGTTACTGTCATTATTTTTGATATTCCTGTTATCCTTAATGCTACCATTACGAATATATTTATTAAAAAGGAAAGAAAATATTACCCTTCCTTGTTTTATATGCGTCAAACAGTTTGCATATTATTTTGACTTTATTTCATCGTACAGGAAATAGCTATAATTCACCTGAGTTCAGTAATATGCCCATAATTACATTTTAAGAGTACATTATTATTATTATGGATTGTAGGTAAGTCGGCATACTTGATCTCTCCTCAGGTTAGAGACTTGTTCATATGTCGTTTGTACCGTTAGACTGAAACGCTTATGAGCTACCACCTTTTTTTTTCTTTCCCATATACAAACCATTCATTTAGTTAGTGTCTTATTGAATCTATAAAGTCATACATACTTTTACAAACACAGATCTAAAGTTGACAAAGATCATAAACTTCTTTTCAGCACACTAATGACTGAGTGTATGGTAGAATAATAATCACTGTATATAATTACGAGCGGTGAACATTGAAGACAGAAGCCTGAGGCGGTTAGAACAAAATCATGAGTTCAGTGAAATATTATACGCTAGACAGTACTGCTGATCGTTTTCAGTGGTACAATCTCATTCACGGTTGATCTTATTTGCTTCGCTTTGTCTCGTCTTTTCTTTTCTTCTATGGCTCACTCTTGAAGTAACGAGATGAAAAGTTATGCAGATATAGTGCTCCACAGTTAAGTGCCAAAGCTAGAATTGAAATAAGTGGTAACAATAAAGCTGGACGCCTTGCTATCCATATATTCAAACATCAGCGAATCTGCATATATTATTTCTGATCAGGATTTTTTAAACACATATAAGTAGGCTTTCCGTTAATATATGAGTTTCAGTAAGCAGCTTTGTATCTTTGTTACTATCATTCAGGTTAAATAATGCATCAAAATTATTTTCCTGAAGATAAGGCGTATGTGTATTTACGTTCTCATGCGAATCATTTCACAAAACTAACCATGCAAGCAAATATTCATAATTACTTCCTGTCTCCTTATTAGAATGATATAATTTTATTCACAATTAGTAAAACTGAATATGATTTCTCACTTAGAATTGATCAATTACCAGAAATAAAATGGTCTGTTTTTCATTATAAAAATGTGTAACTATACAAATTTGAGTGTCTACAGTTAATTGTACATTTCTAGATTCATATGTTAGCCAATATGCTAATGTGAAATCAGTTTAGACAAATGAAGTAAACATTTGGAAGAATTATATGCAACTTACACATTTTTATGGTTAACAGGTGTTTTGAATTCTTCCAGGGATTGTTCATTGACTCTATTTCTCACTTAGGTGAAAATATGAGGCTGTTATGGTTGAAAAACTCACACTTGCGTTGAACTATTGAAAACTGGCAAATCTTTTTCAAATTTTATTTAGCTTATGCTCTCTCAAGGTTTATTAGTTGACATTTTACCGCTAAATCCAGGTGGATATTTTGTTTATTCACCTAACAAAGTGTAAGTGAGTCGGCGTTATAGCGGTTAGGACGGTCGCCGACCATGCACATGGTCCGGAGTTCGATGCCTGGCCGACGCACTCCTTTACCTCGCTGATCCAGAAATAATGCTGGTGAGGAGGAAAGGTTGGGCATGAGGCTAGCAAACCCATCCTGTAAAATAAGCACTGCTACAAAAACTTCAAGCCACTAGCTTGAAGCCCTATGTTTCACTGGGTAACGTGAAGGAAAAAAAACAAAGTGTATTCGAGAAAAAGTTCTCCCTCTAGTGATGAAAAAAATTGCAAGCGTTTTTGATAAAATTGTGGGTGTTCTCACCGATTCACCTCATTATTCGTCAGAACATGCGACTCTGCAGCTTATAACCTCATATGTAAATCTTTCATCTTTTTATAACGCATCAGTAGTCAAAACAACTTGTCTGTTCTTGACTTACTAAATGAAAAATAATTAAAAATGAAAAAGAAATGAAGTGTCACTACTGTTCACTATGAAAAGTAGCTATGTAATACAGAATTTGCCTATCAAAATTTTTCAAGTGTATTTACATGTAAACGGTTTCATTCTTCTAAAATTATCTCACACATTGAAAAATCGCCAAACGTTCACTTGTCAATGGTTCTGTTTTTCTCTTTTTGTCATGGTTTTTACATATTGACTTCAACTGTATTTTACGTAATGTGTCCATAGTCTGTCAAATGGCTAAAAACTTAAACTTATATGGCTCAGTTTGTTGACATCTTTTCATTATTATGTCTAACTTATGATCTGATCGGTTAGGCAAAAATGAACCTAATGTGAACAGTTGTACTTCAGTACATAAAGCTTAAGCTTGTTAGGCCTATTTTTTACATAATACAAATGATTAAGGAAACTGTCATCTTATTTTTGAATAATACAAACTTAATAATTACTTCGATTAAAGGAATTCTCATATTATATACACAAATATGTATGTACAAATGAGATTTGACTGTGGAAATGACTTGATATAATCATCAAAAGCTATTAAAAAAGTCTACCTTTACACTGGCAAATTAATAGTGGTATAGTTCCAGCCACCGCTTTCTAATAAATGTCAGATTCATAGGGGAAAAATGACAAAATGTCGAGGTACATTTGACACATTGTGTAAGACTGAACTAAATTACAAGTCGGTGGTTTACTGTCTCCTAAAATGAAATTTTCTACAAATGTTTCCCTAATTAAACTGAGTTATAATTTTTTAGCGAATTGTTTTCTTACCAGTGAGTTATACATTTTATATCAAAAGTAAACCTCAAATTCACCCGTTTATTTTTAACAAATATAATGAAATCAGCTATGTATTTCATTTAAACTCTTAATTTTTTTGTATCTACAGGAGATCATCGTAGATCTGGAGGACACGATCATCGTCACCACACAGCAGGACACTTACATTCCTCGGATTCACATCCTCGCACATTTAGCGGAGGTACAACACACAGTGAAGTTGGAGAAGGTGGAGTGGGCGGTCTAGTAGGCGAAAGTCACGGTGTTCATTCATTTGGAGGTCACGATCAAGGTGGAGTAATGGATGCCACATTTATTTGGAAATTGACTAAACTTGGAAGAATTGGGTCATCCAGACTTCGGTTTGATGATGATTTTGCCGATAGGCTCAATTATCAGTATACTGGTGTACTAATGTTCCTATTTATCGGTCTTATTGGAATTCGTCAATATGTTGGTAAGTGAATGAATATTTAAACTTTCACAGTATCAGGTATCTTTTAAAAATAGCCTCATAACATGTTCAATCTTTTGCAGGATTTGAATTATTTAATATTTTATCAGACAAAATGACGTTGATAAATTGAATTTAGAAATTTTATGACAGCAGCCTCAGACAGTTATCAACAGGATGTATCAATAAAAAAGATAGAATATTTAGTTAACTCAACAACTTCAAAGTTGGATGGCTACACATTTCTGGCATTTTCAGGGTAGAACACGAAAACAGAAGTTGCTTCAGGTCATAAGCTAAGCTGTTTAGTGAAGAATAGACAAGTGAATCTCCAAAAATCATTCCCAAACACTGACTGATTTATACAATTTTAGAAACATAACTCCATTATTTTTGTTTTAGCTGGATCTTCCATGTGTCACTTTTATAGTGACAACTCTAGACGTTCATAAACATTTTAGCGGTTTATTTCAGTGCAAAGTGTATAATGATTACGCAGTGGTGTGAATGATCTAGATGGCTTGGTTATTTCTATTGTTCTGTCTTACATATTGACATTGTGTAGGAGACGTAAGCGAACCGTACGTGATAACGACTTCGGCGATCAAAAAAAACTTTCTACTCTGCACGTCTGTGTCTATCCTTTGCTAGCCGTCCAATGTTCACCCAGCAACTCAAAGATGTCTTACCTAACCTTAGCTTTTCTTCATGCATATACCATTTCAACTGTTCTTATGGTTCAAGTTATAGAGGGCGCACGATTAGGCAGGTTCGTTTACGGGTTCGAGAAGATTTACCAGCCTGGTTCAGCAGGGGGGAAATTAAGTGCATAAAAAGCTCGATTCTGTCACACTTGGTCGATACTGGACATCGTATCGATATCAACACAACAACAAGGTTATATTGATTGAGAACTTACAATTATAGATTGAGTTACTGATTAAAATCTACAAAAGTAGGTCGAATTCGGTCTTAAACGGACTTGAATCATCTGAAATAATTTTACTTGACTGAACATCCTCCTTTGAAAGAAAAAAGTCTTCATATTCACTAAAAAAATTCCTGTCTTTATCACCAACGAAAGGTGTCGATTAAATACTATTTTTGTAGGACAGAAACACATGAATAATTGCACCATATTCACAGCATATTAGCTTTTTCTGTGAAGTTATTCTTCTCCAGAAGAGCATGTTTATTTAACATTGAATTATTCATTACACCTCAACAGGCTCAAAAAAACATATGTTGAATGTAAAGGGAACAAAATTAAATGCTTGACTGGCATTTATACGAGAAGTATTTTTCACCTAAACGTAAAACATCTGTTTACTAACCACCAGAATAAAGGCTCCACATGTCATGTGAAGTGAACGAAATGTGCTGAACCGCTTGCATATACCACAGCTCCTGACAATAAAAATGCTTGATGTAGTAAATCGATTAAGGTCAGAAATGTTAGTCACTGTGATTCAGTAGAAAAATGACCGTGTTGATTGCAGTATGTTTGTGTTTAACAGTATATAAGTAATTGGATGTGTGATGACAAGACTAGCTAAACAGCCGGAGTAGTAGGTATCTATGTTCATTAATACTAATTAAGTTCATCTGGGACATCTATTGGCTAAGAATAAAACAATATCTGTTATTTGTGTATAAGATTTACTAATACATGTAACATTTTCTGATAAGTATGAAAAATTGTAGAAGAAAGTATGTTTAGTATTTTCGTCCTTGGTATATTATTACCATATTACGGATATCATTGATATATCTGTAAATGTACTAAGGACTTGGTTTCCACACCAGTCTTCATATCGTAACCTACTCATGCGTCTGATCCAGTTTTAAATTAAACACTGATGACATTTATAACTTGGTGGCCAACTCTCTGTGTTTTGCGCTGACTGAAATAAACTCAAAAATCCTAAGGGATAAATACACTTCGATCCTGAAATGCGAGGAGAATTTCAGTAAGGTCTTAAACTATTTAACAACGAATCCCTCTTCCGTTTCATATTCCTTGACATGTACACAGTTTTTTTTACTCCATCTTTTGTATGCTGTTTATTCTCTCACGATTACACGTTCAGATTTCTGAATGTAATATCTAGCTCAGCTTATATTACTCGCCTAAAAACAACATCTAAATATTTATAAATCATCCTGAAAAATAATAAAGTCTTTCAGAAAAAGGAAAAGTATGCCGGAAGAAAAGCAATAAACAAGCGATTTTTATGATAATGACATTATTCGAATTTTCAAAGATACTTTTTGATGCCGCTCATCTGACAGTGTACAATCTCATTGAATTCATGTTGCCTTTATTTGAAGACTCATTGAAAATAGTCCATAAATTGACAATGAGGATGAGATATCGGCAAAAATAAAATTTAAGAAAAGAATTATTATAAAATAGTTCATCGGAAGAAATTCTTGATTTCCACTACTTGTTTTCTACTTGCACAATGACAAAGAGGGAAATTATTCCCAGTGCGTCTTGAAGGGAGAATTACAAAGTATTATTGTTGCCTGTCATAGTAATATTCAAAACAAACTTTTGGTCGAATGATTACTAAAGTCATTTTACCGATATATACATATATTTAAATTTCGAAAGATGGATTCATCGTTATCGGTACTTAGTTTATTTTCGCCTGTTTAATCAGGCGTAACATGTTACTTCAGTAGAACAAGCGAACATTGCTTATTTATTTGTATTAAGGTAAGATTTATATCATTACACGCGGTTATGCTGAATTTCATTATCTTAATGACGAAAACAAAACAAATCAATGCTAAAATTTTGTTTAAAATTGAGATAAAAACGATGAATCTCGCATCCTAGTGTACAAACTTTAATTTAGGTTTTTAATTAAGTATAAGTTGAACAACTTAAAGCTGTATTTCGTTTGAGTAAGTGCCTATAACAAATTGTCTTCCGTTTGTGATGATAATGAAAAGACTCAAAACCGACCTACGAAATGAGCAGTAATTTCTTTATGAGTGGATTTCAAAGCATAAAACTAAACTGTCTACGTAGATTTCATAATCAGAGAACCCATTAATTTGAGTTTTTGGGCATAGAATTAAAGTTATAAGCTTCACGTGCAAACTGAAATCGACTTAACACTAATTAAGTGAAAATATCATGTAAACTGATAACTGGGTAAATTTGTTAACATATGATGAAAACAAGAACTATTACTTAAATATCTTTTGGGATAGTAAACACCAGAAAACTTTAAGCCACTGAAATAAGTCTTCATTTATCAATTTGATTCTTTTGATAATTGGCTTCCAATAGCCCTGATTCTTTTAATTTCAAACCAAATAGTATTCATAATTAAGATCATTATAGAGACTAACAGGATCTCATGTTCTCTTCAGTATTCATACTTGCATTTTGTGCATTATTGCTTGACTACTATGAGTTATGCAATCTACGACTAACTTGGTTTTAGCCTAGATGTATGAATACAAAGATGTTGAATGAATAAACCAATCCATTCAGAGTTAGCGAAATTTACTAACCAAATAATCACACACGTTACTGTCATCTTCGGTTAAGTTTGTCTGAAAGGAAAAGAAAACGATTTTCTGGTGAATTTATTGTCAGACCTGGACATGAGATTGTATTAATTTACTTCTACTAAAAGTATTTACACAAATTTGCTTAACTTTGAGAAACAAACTTCCTACATCTGAAATCACTACTTTACAAATAAATTTGTTGAATGGATTATTCAGTCAGTAGAAAAGAGAAAATTCTAATACCACTTCAGAATATCATAAAAAATCTAGACCTCTTCACCTTGGTTAATTATAGAAAACTCAATTGACTAGTATAGCAGATTTTATCGTTTTTCCACAGAACAAGATTGTCTGATTTATTTAAGATTGGCAGGAAAGACATTACACTGCATTTAGATGACACAAGTAAGAAGGTAAGACTGATACTGTAAGAAATTGTCCACACACGGAAATTTTGACTGAAGTGTTCCCATACTCATACTAACAAATAATTTTGAAGAAAACAAACAAGAAATTTCATTTGTGATTAAACATTTTTTTAGAGTAACAAGAGCAACAGTTTAAACTAAACAACGTGAATCTGTCTTATTCCATTAGCGTTTTCTCATCCATCTACAGAAAAAAATAAAAGTCATAACAGAGATATTATATGATTTAGCTCAATAAAGGAAAATACACTTAGTTACCATGACAGACAACAAGGAACATTGTATGACTAGAAATCATAAAAACCAATCAAAAAGAGGCTAGCTAAGAAATAAACAAACTATTGTGTAAGATTTCCACGTGTGTTAGTTTTTCTGCCTGACTTTCAGAAATATTTTCAATCTTGATGTGACGTTTCCTCTTCTGAACCTGCTATGTCTCTATATAATCCGAATGATTGAATACATCTGAGTCATTAAGAATGACTTTGTGGCATGTCATGGACACTCTCCAGTCATTACTTCTTAGCGTCACAACCAATCCAGTGAGGCAGTCCGCACTTCCCTACCTGGCTGAATCCAAAAGTTGAACACTTCATAGTTCGATCCGATACTTTTCTTTGACAATACCTAACTGTTTTACAACCCAATTCAGTGTCAGCCAAAACTACTATTTGAGGAAGGTTATGGCACGGCACACGTAACATGTCGTAACCACCCAAATATATATATATATATATATATATATATAGCTTAATAGCTCCAACTAATTATATTATATGCCTGAAACTATACACCTAATCTCGATATTACTGAATTATACCGCTAAATACGGGAAACAGAATACAAACATCTGTGGTCAAAGACAGCTAGCTTTTCCATGTGTTCCACCTTCAGACTTATACAGCTATAAGGAAGAATAAAGTGAACTTTCAGGCAATACACATGTCCTACGCTTGATAGCCGGGTATCAAGTGTACGCTAGAGATGTGACGGATGTGAGTACGTGCTGAGATTTCATTAGCATTCAGTAGAGAAGGGCTAATG